TTCGTGCAATCATAGAGTCTGCAAATAACTATTATCTTATGAATCTTAATTTTTTTCTAATCACTTCCGGTGGCTCAATTTTTACTCCAAAAGCTCGTGCATAGGCTTCCATTAAAAGCTGATTATCTCGAAAACAAACTCGGGACACCCTATTTTTCTTTCCAGATTTGGAATCAGCATTAAATTTCAATTCGGAAAATCGAAGTTTTAAAAAAAGTTTAAATCAATTTCCAAAAGTAGGCAGTCACCTTAAAAATTCAGAAAATTAGCAAAAATAGTAGAGATTCAAACAGAAATAAGACCGAAAAAGAACTGTCTATTTTTGCTGACAAAATAGATGTAGATTTAGATAAGAATACTGTCACTCTTAGTCTAAGTGTGCAAGTAGAATAAAATGATGTTTGAGAACGAAAGACGGCATGGTGTAGTGAAAATGGCATCTGTAATATCGTCCAAGTTGGTTTTCTACTGTTTTTTCTTTAATTAAGGAAATGAAACTACAGAAATGTACGGGGGGATTAGCTATTCGAATATGTACATGTGATTTTGAAAATAATCAATTAATTTCAAAGTCTCAAGAAAGGCAGGATAAAATGCTGAAAGATGCTTGCGGACGAATGTCATGGTGTAAGCGTAAGGTTTGGCATAATGGACGGGGTTTATAGAATATTTATAGATATATATATATACATGTATATAAACCTTAGGGCGCTGACAAAGATGCAAATTTTTATAGCTATAGCTGTGATCCATAACAAAATATTTGGGATCATAGAGAGCGGAAGAATAGGTTTAATTATGCTCATCCTGGCATGCAAGAACCACAGTAAGAAATGTCTGGTGCTGATAATCCTTAGATAAGATAGCGTCGCTATTTACTTATGTGATGGTAAACAGGCCGAGTGGACTAACCAGATATAGCGGTACTTTATATATCCACCGAAGTTTCTTCCCCATGGCCATTATTTGCATGGGTTTTCTTCAATACACAGTTCTTCACAAGCCGTACTAGTCTTCCCCTGGCATACTCGACCAGATATTCGTCCTGCCAAGCGTTGCCTGACTGATAGACTAGAACGAACGATAGTTTGATTTCCAGGCTCAGAGGTTTCTGATTGGCAACAGCAGCAGCAGACTGTTTTTAAATGACGCCTAAAGTCAGCACTATGAAGCGAGTAGATTATTGGGTTAACACAAGTATTCAAATGCACCAAGGCTAAACTGGTTGTCTCGAGAGGCTGTGGGGCTGATTGATCAAATAAAATCATTAGCTGAACTACACAAGTGGTTAACCAAGAGACGACAAAAATGCTTGAAACGACCACTAACATCTGGGCTAATTTACGCCGAGCCTTGACTCGAGCCGCATTTGCCACGCTTGAAGCTTTGGGAGCACACCAAAGAGTATAGATTATTCTGCTATAGCAATAGAATATGATGCAACTCGGAAGAAACAGAAATATGATAATAATAAAGAAATAATAAAGTCGCCTCTGTGGAGAGTAAATCTTCAGTGTTTTGCATTCATAGTCGCCTTTTTGATAGCTCCATTGAAGAAATAATGTTGGTGACATAAAAATGAGAATTGCCATCCATAGAATGATCAAAATTAAAGATGCCCTCCGTCGTTTCTTGGCGTTGCGGGAAAATGGTCTCACTACAGCAAAAAATCTTTCAATTGAAATAATGGTGAGCGTTGCAATGGAGACGCCACAAGTGACATGGACTGCGTAGTTGGCGCTCTTGCAGAAAGCCGTCCAGTCGAAGTCCCTATCAGAAAGATGAACAAGCATACCTAGTGTTTGAAGAAGACCGTACGCTAAGTCTGCCACTGCCAAGTTAACTAATAAATAGTTTGTGAATGTCCTCATGGAGATGTTCTTCAGAACAATAGCACAAACCAGGATATTCCCCACGATATTTAAGGGAGATGTCAACAACAGAAACCATACATATCCCCTTGACATTTTGCTCATTTCCAAAACCCTTCCAAGAAGCTTCAAGGAAGACGACAGATGAACCTGAGTCCAGTTTGCTTGACAGAGACGAGAGTTAGTGTTTCCTGTAGTTTCGTTCGTGATGTTATTTGATTATGTTAATCATTGTTCATTGTACGCCTACACATTCGTAATGAGTACAATAATGAATAAAAAACAATAACCACGATTGGGGATTGACTTGATCCGACTGACACTAAACAGACTATCCACCCACTCATGAATATAAAACAAAATAAATAACATAAACAAACCATTCTTAAACTCTTCCAATCATGTCTTTTCTTCAACCACCTTCTAGAGCGATTCTTAAAAATCACTTTCGCCCTTACATTTTTTGGAGTTAATTTATAGCAAAGGTGTCAAAAACTTGAAAGGTTTCCAATAATATCCTGGTTTTCTGACGGACATGTTTATTAGCAGGCAACTGGCTGGCGAATCAAAAGCACGGGTTTTTCAGAATTGGAAACAAAAATCACACCAGTAATGATATCTGTTTTTTTTATATTTAGTTTTCTTTTGATTGGAGATTTTAATTTCCGATCTCATCTTTCGAAAGGGTGAAGTTAATTCCGTCTTGCTAGGAGCTAAAAGCTAGGATTTCAAAATCCAAAATTTGATGTTTTTATCAGTCTTGTCACGCATTACAAATCTTCCTATAATTGCTTACGACTGATTATTTTTTTAATTTAAAAAAAAAATAATTCCTTTATTTATTTCCCTACCTTGTTATAGTCCTTTTTGGTTTTATTTACATATTACTAAAAAATTATAAAAAATCGATAACTAAACTCCATGGTATCAACCCTTTGGTAATTCCCTGCAATGCTCATAACAATTGTTTCCAAGCTTTCCTTATAGAAAGGACTCAATTTTGATTTTTATCGCTATTCTATTATTCATGATTTGAGATACTCAGATTTAGGAAATAAAGGAATCCTTTTAGATTTAGTTATCGTATTAAATTGTTGAGAAGTTGTTCAGATGACAGAACTATCCGTGAATCATGCGCGCGAGTGTGATCTGCACTTTCAAGCAGAGACATTTTCAAGTCGTCCTTAGACTTGCGTTTTATATATTTTAACCATATTTATGAAAGCAAATATAAAATCCTTATATCGTTTACACTGGTAGATTAAAGAAAGCCGTGGTAAGTTTGATGTAACACCTGCTAGTGATAACACACTCAAGTGCAATCTTTCAAACCAAAAGCTGCGAAATTGAATCGTAACCTCACTACTTCGCAAATTCACGGACTTGAGGACACCTCGCAGTGCCGTAAGGCAACCGCCTTGCTTGCCTTTATAGTGGCTGATAAAATGTCACAAATGCCTCTCAAATCTCTAGAAATCGCATTTTCAAGGGTCTCAATTTCAAAGATTTCCAGGGCTGCATGTCCCCGAACTCCCCTAGTTGCTCCCGCATTCGAAGCTCGTTTGCCTCGGTAAACAATTCGGTTTGGCTACGGCCCTGCCTCGAAGATCAGGAGATCCAATAAGTGACAAAAATAATACTTGTGCGTAAATTAAGTTATCGACAATAATCCTCGCTTTGCAACATCAGAAAGAGCAAAATTCAAAGCTAAAGTCGAGGCAAGAAAGATTAGCCATGTAAAGAGGGATTATAGATTTTGCTCTCTTAATGAAGAATGGCACATTTATTTATTTTTAACTCCGTGTCATCATGCAAACTGAAGGCACAAAAGGGCCTACGCTGGCTCGAATTATCGCTGTCATTAGAACTCCTAGACCCCTTACAAATTATCTTGGTCGCTAGTCTAACAGTAGAAAAAGGTGTGATTTCTATCATATTCTTCTGTTAATCTCGAATCCAATATATAATTTGAATGGGGCCAATCCCGAAAATCTGAAGTGCGAAAATCGTGGGTTTCTTGTAAAAAATATATTTCCACCTGATTTTGAAATGCGGATCGGGCACATACTTTATTCCTAACCTTTTGATGTCATGTCATAGTTTTAGTTATTTATTTTGAAAAGTATTTTTAAAATTACCCATTTGAATATATATTCCATTGCGGTTTTCCTTCGCTCTATTGCGATTCTGCGGATATCGCTCTAACACCGAGCGTTAGTTAGCCACCAAAACCCCCACAAAGGAGCAAAAATTATGATTTATGGAATCGGTTTATCCAGTGAAAAACCGATTGAGATAAAAGGACGAGCATATGTTCGGGCGAATGCCACTTTCTAAGAAAATGAAAAGTGACAATGTAACGTTAGCCATGTCCTACATGACAAGCCACCACAAGCACCTGTTGTAACTGTTAGAAATGTAGTTGTCTTGTGAATATTGAATACTGCATAGTGGCTACTGCTTAATATTAAGATATAGGAAGATTTAAGAAGGTATTCATTCTTTTTATTTCCACTAACATAAAATGTTTATTTTTACCCTTTTCTAATTTTTAATAAATATTAAAATGACTTATACTGAATAGATATTATAATGACTTATAAATATGTATTGCTGTATAGTGTTGATATTAATATAGAGTAAAGCGTTGTCGAACTTAAGGAATTAACGCTATAGTATAAATTATAAATTATTATTATATGTTTATTTCAACTTCAGAT